GCAACAAGAGAAGCCACCACAATGAGAAGCTTGAGCACTGCAACAGAGTAGCTCCTGCTCACTGCAACTAGAGAAAGCCCACACTCACCAACACAGCCAAAAATAAATAAATAAAATATAAATAAATTTAAAAAAACAAAAACAAAAAGAGAGGGCATACTCATGGATACAGAGACCAGATTGGTGGTTACCAGAAGTGGGGAGGGCATGGGGGGTGTGGGTGAAATGGGAGAAGGGGGTTAAACAATACAAACTCCCAGCTATAAAATAAGTCATGGAGATGTAATGTACAGCATGGGGACTATAGTTAATAACACTGTACTGTATATTTGAAAGTTGCTGAGACAGTCAATCTCAGAAGTTTTCACCACATACACAGAAAATCTTGTAACTATGTATGGTGACGATGTTAACCAGACATTTATTTCACAATATATACAAGTATCGAATCATTATGTTATACACTTGAAACTAACATAATGCTATAACATAATGATATAATTATATCAATAAAAAACAAACAACAACAACAAACCCAGAGTGCACAGGGAACTAAGGCACCAAAGATCACTTTATAATTTTCTTTGTGGTGTCAGAATACCATCTAATGTGATTCTCTTCTGTTAAGAGTGGAGGGAACTCTCCCCAAATCTCCCAACCAAAGCCCAAATTCTATAACATGTTCTTTCTAACACCTTCTTACTGAGATGCTCCATGCTTTTCCATGGTGTGCTTTCCCCCTTGCTGCAACAGGTAATAAATCCAACTTGTTCAACTACAGGTGTGTTCCTGGAGGTCTTTGATTAGAGGGCACTGACAATATTAAGCATTCAAAAACATTTATTGCTATTATTAGCAATTGCTATTTTATAAATTTATTTATTTGGCTGCGTTGGGTCTTCGTTGTTGCACACGGGCTTTCTCTAGTTACGCTGAGCAGGACTTCTCTTGTTGCGGAGCATGGGCTCTAGGCTTGCAGGCTCAGTAGTTGTGGCTCACGGGCTCTAGAGTGCAGCCTCAGTAGTTGTGGCGCACAGGCTTAGTTGCTCCGTGGCATGTGGAATCTTCCCAGACCAGGGCTCAAACCCGTGTCCCCTGCATTGGTAGGCGGATTCTTAACCACTGCACCATGAGGGAAGTCCCAGCAATGATTATTTTAAAAAATAATTATTACAGTAAGTCCCCTACATACGAACCTTCAAGTTGCGAACTTTAAAAGATGTGAACGTGTGTTCTCGTGTCCAATCACGTAAGTTAATTCACGAGCCTGGAGTACATTGTCATGTGCGTGCATCCTCTACAAGTGGTTGTGCTTTTGTGTACTTTACTGTACAGTGCTGTATAGAGTACAGTGGATGTCCAGAAGCAAAAATAAAAGCAGAGGTATATAGCTGATTGTGTTAGTTGGGTACCTAGGCTAACTTTTTTGTACTTATGAAAAAACTGGACTTACGAATGCGCTCTCGGAATGGAGCTCATTTGTATGTAGGGGACTTGTATTGTTATTAATCATGTGAGTCTAGCATATAAGGTGCATCTCTGGGGATGTGGCTGAGATACCACCAGAAGGCAGACTGGGAATAGGTTGCAGAAGGCCTTTGTTTCACATTGTCTTGTATGAAATGGATGGCAGAGCCCTGATACACACCACACACACACACACACACACACACACACACACACACACACACAGATACTGACAAATCTCAATCTTTAGAAGGTTCCTCCACAAAGGGAGAAAACTTGTCTTTCCTGTTCACAGCTGAGTCTCCAGCATGCAAAGGAAAGCAGGTCACATCATATAGCCTCAACTCAGTAAATTTTTCCTGAATGAATGAATTCAAGCATCCTGGGAGACTTTAACAGTTTAATTTAAATATTAATAGATCAGGAAGACAAACATAGCTAAGACATATATAGTGCTTACTCCCTACCAGGAACTGCACTAAACATTGAACATGTATTAACTCAGCTGTCTCTGGTCCCCATCCTATGAAGTAGATACTATTATGAACTCAGTTTTACGGAGGTGAAAACTAAGGCACAGGGCGGTTTAGTGGTTCACCAGGGATCCCATGGCAGGTAGGTGGCTGAGTGAGGATTTAAATCCAGGTAGTCTGACTTCAGAGCCTGCGCTCGTAACCAACATGCTTTACTGCCTTGCAGCACAAAATAAAGATATAGAGAGTAATAATGTGCAATTAACTTCACAGGTGGATTTGTGTTGTTTCTATCCAAAAACACAGAAAGTACATTTTTTTCTTCCTTGAGTATGAGGGGAAAATGCTCTTTGCATATTTTTAATTGGTCATTTCAAAGGCCACAGAGTGGAAATTACGTAGATCATATAATTTGACCACAGCAAAATAACATTACCTATAAACACCAAAAATAACAGGGGGAAAGCAGGAATGAAATATCAGGAATGAAAAAGGGGATATAAGAACAGATTCAGAGGAGATAAAAATTATAAAGGAGTTCTATTTGTAACTTTATGCCAATAAATTTGAAAATGTAAATGAGATGGACTTATTTTCTAAGCAAAGAAAAATGACCCAAAATTGACTCAAGAAGAATCAGAAAATGAATACTTCATTACTTACCAATAACTTTGGAAAGAATAATTAAAGATCTAGCCTTCTAAAATCCATCAAGTCCAGATTGTTTTGTAGATGCATTCTTTAAATCATCAATAAGCAGATAGATATCTTGATAATTTAAAAATACCAGTGTGGGGCTTCCCTGGTGGCGCAGTGGTTGAGAGTCCGCCTGCCGATGCAGGGGACACGGGTTCGTGCCCCGGTCCGGGAAGATCCCACATGCCGTAGAGTGGCTGGGCCCGTGAGCCATGGCCGCTGAGCCTGCGCGTCCGTCCAGAGCCTGTGCTCCGCAACGGGAGAGGCCACAACAGTGAGAGCCCCGTAAACAGAAAAAAAAAAAAAAAAAAAAAAAACCAGTGTGTAGGAAAAAACCAAGATGCTTTCAAAATCATCCTAGAAAGTTAGCGTAACCTTGTATCAAATTTGAATGAGAACCTCACCATCCCCTAAAAAGGAAAAAAAAAATTTTATTTATTAATATAGATGCCCCCTAAAAGCCCTAAGGTAAATAAATAATTCCAATCCAACAGCGTATTTTAATAAAAGAACATACATTGACCACATAAAGTTTGTTGGGGGAATATATATGTGGTATAATTAAGGGTGGCATCTTGAATCAGTAAGAGGAGGAAGGACTATTCAGATTTGGTGCTGGGACAGCTGGCTTCTCGCCTTCATCAAATCCTTGCCCTACCTTATGCATAAATCTAATTTCCAGGTGAATTGATAATCTAACCAACAATATCATCATCAACAACAACAATAACAAAAAAGTTCTAAGTTCCTAGAACATTTAAGCAATTATTCTTGCGATTCTGGGTCTCCTTAAGCAAGGTAGGAAATCTAGAAGCCATGAAAGAGAAGACTTACAGATTTGAGTACCCAAAACCTTGTAACTGCTTTACAGAGAAAGACCCCCCTCAATATTATTCAGTACTTAACAAATAATGGGTACCACATGGAAACATTTCCACAGGTAACACTATGGAAACATTAAGTGACAAAGGCAAACTACGGAACAATATTTATGTTTTTAAGATCGATAAAATCGATAACGCTCTGGCAAGTTTGGTAAAAAAAAAAATTGGCATGGGGAGGGAGAAAATACAAATCAACAATATTAAGAATGAAAAGGGGGTATAACTTCAGAGAAAAGCAAACACTATAAGGTAATACTAGTTGTAACTTTGTGCCTGTGAACTTGAAATTGTGAGATGGACAATTTTCTAGGAAAATGTAAATGACTAAAATTGCCTCAAGAAGTAGGACCTTTTTTGTAAAGGAAAAATAGAATTTTGTGTGTGTGTACAGATAGACAGATACAGATATAGATAGATAATATATATCAGTGGGTTTGTGGTTTGATAATGCAGGTTACCTCGGGGGAATGGGACTAATAATGGAAGGTGACCGGCTAGGCTGAGGGGGGGCAGCTGCTTTCTAAATATAATGCCGCGTGCTTTGAATTCTATACAAGCCACGAATTACTTCTGTTAGAAAGGGAGCAAATATTGTTGGTGAATGGCTCCCCGGGAAGTCCTAGGAACAAGCAGGAGGTGGGCTAAAGGATGGAGTTGGAATGGAATCCAATGGTTTGTCTGTGATAATCAGATTCCTCCCAGGTCTTACAGTCTCACTCGCCCCCTCTTCTCTCCCTCTCCTTCCCACACTGTGGACAGACATCCTGAGATCCGAGGGCGTTTTATGAAGGAAGGCAGAGCCGCGGAAAGAGCAAAGGAGACAGGAGTTCAAATCCCTACCCTAGTCTGGGATCTGGGAGCGTCCCCTCACTTCGCCTGATCCAAGGGTCGCCGTGTCCCATCTGCACCCACCCTCTGGGGCTCCTGGAGGCTCAAGTTAAGTTGTTAAGCGAGTCTAATCCCTCAAGAGCTGGAGATGAGGGGGCGGGGTGGCCGGCGCCTCTGCCCGCAGCTGCAGGTAGGCACATCCCCACCCCCGCTGCCCCCTCCTTCCTCCTTCCTCCCCAGCACACACACCCACACAAACCGCTCGCGTCGCGGCTGGAGAGATGCTCTCAGGCGCCAGCGGGCAGCAGAGCCTCGGCAGCCAGTAGAGCCGAATAAAGAGCTGGAGGGCTGGGGTTGCGCAGGAGATCTGCAAACCACAACGGGGGACAATTCTTATCTTTCTTTCATGCTTCTTTCTTTCTCTTAAAAAAAAACCTCCCTTGTTCCCACTGTAACTTGGAGGAACAAGGAGTGGTTTGAAGGAACTGACGCAGAAGTTTTATTTATAAACCTTAAAGAAGTTCTGGGCAAGTCACTCAACAGGACCCGCGAGGCCCCAGGTAACCCCAGCTCCCGGCGCTGGCTCAGCCTGGCAAGCCAACCCACAGCCTCAGGCAGGGGTGCGGGGCGCCCTCTGACTTTGCTTTTGGAGTAATGACACGACCCGTGACGTGGACCCAGGTGGCCTCGCTTGGTGAGCGTCCCCACCAGGTAAGCGCACTCCCGGGGTCTCCACTGGTCACCTGGGTGGGACCTTCAGCTCCTAAGAAGTAAGTCTGCACAGTTTAGCCACATGCATGAGTGGGAGGTTGGTAGGAGAGAGTCTGCTTTTATCACAGGAAATTGTGGGAGATAGGAGTGAAAGATGGTTTAAAAAAAAATTCCTTTTTTAAAAATTTTTGCATTGACGCGCGGGGATGAGATGCATAGGGGCATGAATTTTTGTAGGAAATGGTTGTGGATCGGGGCTGGAGACAGGCGTCTGAATTTCTGCAGGGACTGAAGGGGGAGCAAAGTCCACATTATTGCAGAAACCTATGATGAACGGGAGGTGAGAGGTTATGAGCCTGAAAATGTGCAAGAAATGGTAAAGAGTATGAATCTAAGCATTTTAGAGAAATGATGGGAGAAGCACTTACCGTCCTGGTTTCATCTGACCCCCGTGCTCTGCCTTCTCCACGAAGATGCTCACAGACACTGACAACAGTGGACGCCCTCACGCACTGCCCGCGCGCCCGGAGCCCGCGGCGTTCAGCACCTCGGACAGAGCCCAAAAGGGCTGCGCGCGGCGCCCGGTGAGCACAGGGCGTCCTGTCTCCTTCGCCCCAGGCCACCGCGGCTCGCCTCTGAGGGCGACTACCTAACCCCGCCCCTAGAGCTGGGAGAAAGGATTTTCGAATCGCAAGAGCAAACGTGGAACTCAGTTTCTGATCCGCTTCTAACTGCTTCCCGTGACTGCAGAAGGAAGAGGCGGAGTATAAAGATAGCCCCCACGTTTCTGCAAATACTACAGCTGAACGGGGTGGCCTCCTGGATTTGGAAAGGTGTACCCAAACTTCTTCAAATTTTAACATTTATTGAGCGTTTTCCATGTGCCAAGGCCCTGTGCTAGGAGCTCTACCTGAGTTATTTTATTGTTATAGCACACCACAAATGTGTCTGTGATTATCCCCATTTTACAGATGAGAAAACTGAGGCAAGAGAGGCTGAGTAACTTGGCCCAGTTTATACAACCACCGAATGGTAGAGCTGTGTTCTTACCGGCTGCAGTAGTCAGGAGATGTGTCCCGGCTGCAGTAGTCAGGAGATGTGTCCGAGCAGAATTCTCACTGTGAAAGAGCTCTGAACTTGGGCTCAGAGGAACAGAGTTTGAATCCAAGCTATACCACTTACAAACGTGTGCTCTTGGGCAAAATTACTTAACACGTCTGAACTTCAGACTCTGTATCTGTAAAATTAGGATAATAAAGCTTCCCTTGCAGAAGTGTGAGGGGAGGGTGGTCAAAAAGATCATGAATGTGGAAAGACTCAGCAAACTTTGAATTGTGGTTGGGTGGTGGAGGCAAGAAAGGAGGCAGCAGGTGATTGGAAGAGAAAGAGGACTGGTAATGGCATTAGTGGCACTCTACAGGGTGCTGGGAGGGCTTAGAGGTAGGATTCTGGATGAGCTTAATTCAACATTATAACCCCGTGGCTCTTTAGAGGACTTTGGAGATAGTGTTCACATATAGCCTGCCCTAACAATCTTGTAAGGCAGAATCGGAGTTCTATTCATTTGGAAAGACGACGCTTGCCCTTAATTACTCAGCTACCTAGTAGCAGAGCTGAGGTTAGAATCCAGATCTCCTGCTTCTCTGTCCTGTAATCCTTCCACCATGACTGGTGCATCCTCCAGAGCTTGGATTACGGAGCAATTACAGCACCAAAGTATATTTAGGTAAGCACTGTAAATATCAGGTTGGCCCATGCAAAACTGATCATGGTTTGACCATTTTCCACCTACAGAAACAGTAACGCCATATGGATCAATCTAATAAATGTTCATTGATTATATTCTATTTTGTTCCACAAAGAATTTAAAACAACTTATAAAGATCCACAAGATGCCAGGTTTATATATATTAGAAGCAGTCAAGAAAATAGAGGAGAAACAAGATGTAAGGCTGTAGCCAGAAATAAGATGAATATAAAATATGCATATTATAAAGTCCTAGAAACTTGCTTTGGGTCACAAAGTACAATAAAGTGTATATCCAGTCCCTTGCATAGGGATATGAGAAACTTTGCAGACGTTTGTAGGAGTCTGTTGCTCCTCCACTTTTGCATATTTTTCTGCTAGCATTAATATAAGTAGTCTTGAAACCAATGCAATGCCTCAACCCTCTGAAAGATTTACCACTGTGCCAAACAAGGGAAGTTTAACTGGAAATCTGATGCCAATGAGACTCAAGAAAGGGGAGATAAAGCAAATGGTATTTTATCTGCACTGAAGTAATGAAGTGTTAGCTATTTATAATGGTTCACATAAGCACATCATACTTTATAAGTTTACAAAAAGGGCTTCTGCGTCCATCAGCTCGTTGGAGCCTCCTAACAAACCTGTAGAGGTAAGAAACTAGGAAGTGAGGGGAAGAACAAAAACACAACATCATGACTTGTAGCCCATGTATTTTACTCTTTATGCTTCATGTCATAAACCCACATACCTACAGAGGCTAGGTAAGTAACTTGAATGTGTGAACTGGGCCAATTGTAAGACTACAGAGAATGGCAGGGCCTTTGTCAAACTGGACAATGAATAATCCATCTTAAAACATTCAAATGAAAAAAAAAAGTTAAAGCGGGGCTTCCCTGGTGGCGTAGTGGTTGAGAGTCCGCCTGCCGATGCAGGGGACACGGTTTCGTGCCCCGGTCTGGGAAGATCCCACATGCCGCGGAGCGGCTGGGCCCGTGGGCCATGGCTGCTGAGCCTGCGCGTCCGGAGCCTGTGCTCCACAACGGGAGAGGCCACAGCAGTGAGAGGCCCGCGTACTGAAAAAAAAAAAAAAGTTAAAGCACTGTTCCAGTGGAGCAATACATAACTGTGCACCACATTTAGCCCTCAGCCCAGTATTATGCAGCCTTGTTCTACACTAATCAGGCTAAAGGTCTGGGAAGACATGGGAGTGAAGGAGCCTAGATTCAGTGAGATTAAAGACTCAATCTCTGTCTTTAAACTTCCCACTTATAAACTGGGAAAGATTGAACAAGATGGCTCCTCTCAGCTTCAAAAGTCTAAGACTTCCATAATTTTGTGGATAATGAAATAATTCAAAGATTTCTGGACAAAAAAGGCAAATAATTCCACCCATTCATCCCCTTCATTAAAATAATTTTTTGGGGGGGGTGTTAGTGATGTTTTAGTTTTCAGCATTTCTTTTCCAGTCCCTGTGCCTTCAGAAATTATGTTAGTCACCATTATAGTGGAGATGAATTAAACAGAAAACAGCCCTGAAAAGTGAAAAGGATGGCAGGGGTGGGAGGTGGGGGTGGGAAGGGAGCATGACAGGGAGGAACCAGCCAAACTTTGCTCACTTCTCAGTTTACACCTTTTCTGAAACACTTGAAGAAACCCCTCACCACTTTGGGGTTGCTAATTTTTAAAGATAAAAACGTGGTGCCTAGAGCAGCCAAAGGGGATGGGATTTCAAAATTCTGGGCATGTACCAGCTCTTTTCACTCAGGACTGCTTCCTTTTCTTCCAAGAAGCTTAGAAAGCCTGAAAGGCATCTGCTGTTTCCAGTATTAGGTGTTTTTAACATTCATTCTGTGTGATGCACAGTAGGAGATAAATTCCCAAATTAAAGTAAATTCGGGGACTTCCCTGGTGGCACAGTGGTTAAGAATCTGCCTGCCAATGAAGGGGACACGGGTTCGAGCCCTGGTCTGGGAAGATCCTACATGCCATGGAGCAACTAAGCCTGTGTGCCACAACTACTGAGCCCGCGTGCCACAACTACTGAAGCCTACGCGCCTAGAGCCCGTGCTCTGCAACAAGCGAAGCCACCACAATGAGAAGCCTGCACACTGCAACGAAGAGTAGCCCCTGCTCGCCGCAACTAGAGAAAGCCTGTGTGCAACAACGAAGACCTAATGCAGCCAAAAAAAAGTAAATTTGGTCTTGGTTGACTCCCACATTCGATGGGTCACTATTCAATTCTAGCTTTCGAACATCTCTGCAGCTTGATTCTTCCATAACTTCCTCATTTTGGTGCTTCTGAGCCTCATCTTCTCTCAGAGCCTCCTCCAGCCTCCCATCTCACCCTTCCAATCCTGAATTCTATAGATTTCTTTAGAATTCTACAGATTTCTTCAACACCTAATGTGGAGTAGACACATTGAGTGTTTGATGGTGAATATATGAATGAATGAGCCAGCAAGTAATGCCAGTGTTTTAGTGAAGGTTTACCATTTTATAAATAATAAAAATTAACTCAAGCTCTGCTAAACAGAAACATGGCTTCTCGAGTGTTCACAGACCCCAGAGGGAGCTGAACTGCTGAAGAGAGAGGCGATTCTCTCCACCTCTCATATCAGCTTCTCAGTGTGTTAACTTCATTCTTCTCACTGTGCACTTCAGCCTTTCTGCTTCTCTGTGCATGTGGCTACCTGACCAATGCAGCCTTATCTCCAGAGTCCCTAACACTTGAGTTCCTACAAACAGCCCAAGATAACTGGTGTTTCTCAGTCTCAATGTCAAATTCTACCCAAGGTCAAGTCAGTCAAGCACATGGGGCAGGTCAGAGAGTACAAAGTCACCTACCAAAAGCTGAACACTGTGTGGGGAGATAGATGACAGAGAGAAGGGTCAGTGTGGGCTGGCAGGACATCTCAGAAGAGTCGCCCACTCACTGATCTCTGAATGACCCAGGGCAAGCCAATCCTTCACTCTTGGCTTCAGTTTCTTCATTTGTTAAATGGGGGAGAGAGGACAACTGATAGGGCCACTTGATGCTTCAAAGAAGGCAGCTGGTATCAGCCTGGGGCAAAAACATATGTATTAACACTTCATTGGGTTATAAAACCTTGGGAAGTCTAATGAGAACCCGCTGCATAGCACGGGGGACTCTATTCAATGCTCTGCGGTGACCTAAATGGGAAGGAAATCCAAAAAAGAGGGGATATATGTATACATATAGCTGATTCACTTTGCTGCATGGCAGAAACTAACACAACATTGTAAAGCAACTATATTCCAATTAAAAAAAAAGAATCTACTGTATAGCACAGGGAACTCTACTCAGTACTCTGTAATGACATATATGGGAAAAGAATCTAAAAAAATAGTGGATATATGTATATGTATAACTGATTCACTTTGCTGTACACCTGAAACTAACACAACACTGTAAATCAACTATACTCCAATAAAAATTAAAAAATAAAAAACAAACAAAACCCTTGGGAAGTAGGAATAAGGGGAAATGGAATACGAGGCCAGGCAAGAGGAAGAGCAAATACAAGGGCTACATTATTGAGCTACTCACATGTTAAAGACAAGTGCACTGATTGCTCAGTCTTGCGGAAGTTGTATAATCCATTGCATCCCACCCAAATCTTTTAAACTCACCAAAACCAGGCTATTAGGAGACGAAAGGGAAAAGCGTTTTCCTGACATCTACTTCCCATCTCCCATTGGTCAATATTTTGCTCTACAAAGGACTAATCCCCCCACACTTCTGAGCTGAGTAATTCTGTCTCTCCAGGCAGCTGTTGGAGAAACACTTTCTACAATAGTCAGTTTCTCCTGATCAGTTGAAACCAGGTGTGGGGCTCAGCCAGCTGCAGCAGTGACAGCAGCAGCAGTGCCCTGACTCTAAGACTGAGGTATAGAACTTGCTAAGGCCACTCAGGCAAGAGAGCAAGGTGAGCGGCCAACCCCCAGAGAGGGTAAGCAGACAGGGCTATGTGAAACTGTGATGATACATAAAGCGAGTCTGGCGTAATTTGCAAGACTCTTGTCAACTAGCTATGTGAACTGCAATCTTTTACTTTTATTTTTTTTAATTAACTTTTATTGGAGTATAGTTGCTTTACAATGTTGTGTTAGTTTCTGCTATACAGCAAAGTGAATCAGTTATAAGTATACATATTTCCCCTCTTTTTTGGATTTCCTTTCCATTTAGGTCACCACAGGGCACTGAGTAGAGTCCCCTGTGCTATCCAGTAGGTCCTCATTAGTTATCTATTTTATACACAGTAGTGTATATATGTCAATCCCAATCTCCCAACTCATCCCACGCCTCCTTCCCCCCGTACCCAGTACCCATATGTCCATTCTCTACATCTGTGTGAACTGCAATCTTTTCAACCCAATTTTCTTGACATGAAAAGTGTAAGGCAAATGCAGCACACCAACAGTTAATGTTCAGGCAGCTCATTTTATCTGGGCTATAAGAATGAGGGAAGGGGGCTTCCCTGGTGGTGCAGTGGTTGAGAATCTGCCTGCTAATGCAGGGGACACGGGTTCGAGCCCTGGTCTGGGAGGATCCCACATGCCACGGAGCAACTAGGCCCGTGAGCCACAACTACTGAGCCTGCGTGTCTGGAGCCTGTGCTCCGCAACAAGAGAGGCCGCGATAGTGAGAGGCCCGCACACCGTGATGAAGAGGGGCCCCCGCTTGCCACAACTAGAGAAAGCCCTCGTACAGAAACGAAGACTCAACACAGCAAAAATAAAATAAATTAATTAATAAACTCCTACCCCCAACATCTTCAAAAAAGTAATAATAATAATGAGGGAAGGGTCTGATTCTGTCCTCACACGGAGCTCCTGCATTTTCGTCATTTAAGCAATTTCAGTGGGGAGGCCCACAGTGAAAAAATGGTTAGAGACAACCCAAAAAGTAGCTCACTGTGGACAGAGAATGTTATCTCTATAGATGGGCTAGACATTCCAGACCTCAGAGAACAACTCAGATGCTGCGCCTCCATCCTGCTCTCTCCTTAGGGGCCAGGGCAGTGTTGACTGGGGACAAGCCTGGGCTCAGGGGAGGAGGTGGCCAATGATTCCAAGTGAAAGGAGAGAAACATCTCCCAGATATTCCATCTTCTTCCCTGCTTTCCTCTTCTCTTTTGTCCCCTACCTACCTCCCCTACTCCCTGCACCCCCTCCCCAGACTTCGAGGTAGTCCAGAGCTATGTGATTTGCACCACACACAACATAGAGAGATAACGCAATGATCCACCCACGTCTCCTTCCCATCTTCCTTTCCTTTTTCCCTTCCTCCCTTCCTCCATCTTTTGCTTTATCTTACTTTCAAATTATCACACAGCTGATGGGGGAGAAAAGACAGTTTTCCTGCCTCTAGGGGCTCAGAGATATGAGGAGGAGGTGGACCCAGATGATGAACCAGATCAATACTTCAACTGAGAAAGCTGAACCCAGGGGATGCAGTATCCACTTTTTTCTTTTGGTATGTCGTGTGTGTGAGTGCGTGTGTGTGCATGTGTGTTTGTGTGTGTGAGAGAGAGAGAGAGAGAGAGCACACGCACAAGAGAGAGCGAGAGAGAACGTAAAGATGATGTATAATATTCCAGTGTATGAATACGAATATACTACAGTTTCTTTGTTTTCTTCTTGACGGGTTGTTTCTAGTTTTCACTGCCAGCATCATGTCTGCACACGTTCTGCTATGCATATTTACCAGTAATCTATTCCTGAGAACAAAGCAGCACAAAAATGAGTGGCTTAAAACGATAATCATTTATTTGCTCGTACTTCTGCGATCTGGACCAGCCTCTGGGAACTTCTGCGGGCCTCACCTGGGTTCCCTCACTCAGTTGCAATCATCTGGGGCTTTGGCTGGCCTGAGATGGCCTCGGCCACACTCTGATGTTCGCTGGGGCTGTCAGCTGAAGCGCCCTGCGTCCTTTCTGGTTAGGGATACCCCAGACTTCTGCACATGGCAGTTGGATTCCAAGAGAGCAAATCTTGAAGCTGCAGGGTTCACTGGGGCCATGCCTTGAATGTCACACAAAGTTAGCTCTGCTGCATTTTATTGGTCAAAGCAAATCACATACTGACGCCTCCTCTCCATGGGAGGAGAGGCAAGACCTCATTGCAAGTGGTGTGCACCTGGGATGGCAGGACTTTGTGGCCATGCCTTTCAGTCTAGCACACAGCTAAACCCAGGCATGGAATTACTGGGTCAGAGTGTAGGCATTAATTTAGCGGAGCCATTTGTGCTCCCACCAATGTGTTCCTGAATCTTCCCATCTTTCTCCATCCTTGGTACTGTCGGTCTAATTTTAGCTGCGCTGGAGGGTGTAGTGGTATCTCATTGTGCTGTAATTTGATTTTCCTTGATTACTAACAAGGCTGAGCACCTTTTTCTGTGCTTATTGGCCATTTGTGTATCCTCTTTTGGAGGAAGTGATTTGTAGGAGTTCTTTATATAGTCTGGATATGAGTCAGTTGTCATTTTATTCCTCTTTCTCCCTTCCAGCCTGAGTGATTTTTCTCTTGATTCAAAAGGAAGTAACGTTTGAGCTGAGATTTGAGGGATGATGAATAATTAAAGAAGAGCAGGGAGGTCTTAGAGTTAGAAACAGAACAGGGTTAGAAGGAAGAAAAATAAAAAGTGGGGCATTTGAGAAATGACCAGATTTCAAGATAGATGGAGTATCAAGAGAGCAGGAGTAGCAGGGCAGGTGCTGAAGAGGTGCGGCCAGGAGGTGAAGGGCCCCTTGGATGGAATGGAAAACAGCATGTTTTCACTGCACATTGCCTTTTCTTTATTTAGCCCTTGAAAATTCCGCTTTAGATGTCCAGAGTTTGGGGACTAACAAGCTTATAGACACATAGAACTGTAATAAAATGATCATATGACCACAGACAGAAACAGAAGAGAGAGAATGGCCACATTTGGGGGGCGCACGTGGGTAGAGAGAGAGAGGGAGAGAGGAAGAGGGACTCAGTAGGAGATTGAAGAAAGAAGCATAGAGTTGAAGAGACAGAAACAAACTTCTTGTGAATATACTTAATAATATACGGTGTCTTTGGATGGTAGGGATTTTACAGAAAATCTTATAGGAACACACAAACACAAGTGCAACAAGATCAGACTGAGATGGCATTATCAGAATAATGCATTTGGAAGAAGCAGAAAATGATGTGAAGCAGAAAGATACAACCTAGACTGTTAACCACAGTTAATTCTGAAGAGATGAGTGGCTTCAAGGTGGGCTGGGGGCGTGTAAAGGGTACTCTTCTTCTTTATATAGTTAAGTGTGATTTGGGCTTTTTTTTTTTTAAACAAAGTATCTATTCATGGATTAAAAGTTTTAAAAGGCAATACACCCATCTCTCAACTTTAGCCAAGAAAAGCTGCTGACTTCCTATTTAATAGAGGAATAGAAATTGATCAATAACTGCTCAGGGTAGTGGGGTAAGAGGAAGGATGACATGCATCAGAGAAGGAAAACTCAGGCATTGTGACACCTGCCCAGGGGAGCCTGAGGGACAAAAAGTCCACATGGAGGGGCCGTGCTGGCAGAGCATGGCCAGTGAGGGACCCGGGGCTGGCAGGGCATCAATTCTGGGAGACCATTTCTCCTTATTCGTGGGAGACCTCGTGACCAACACCCATTTTGGAAGCTCTGAGTCCAGGAATTAGGTAATTGACATGAGGAGAAGCAAAGCAGAAAACCCAGGTTTGACAGACCTCAGCAGGGGGAGCTCTGGAACGAGCTTTATTTCCTAACATTCGTGAGCAAAAAGGCAATCCCCTTGTCCATCCTCTGCCTCAGATCTGTTCAACCAGAGAGGAGGATGTAGCATTGCATTATTTGAGCTATTCTGAGAGCCTGAATGAGGTGGGTGAGAACTCAGACATCTGCTCGAATAGTGGGGACTAAAACATGGAAATGGACAGCTGGATTGCTTTTGTTTTACAATATTTCCCCCCTACGACAATGGTGATACATGTTTACTTTAGGAAGTACAGCAAAAAGGAAAACTCTTCATAATCTTATCACCATTTTGGTGTATTTCCTACTGGTCTTTTTGATGCACACCTAGAACTACACTGCATTAAACCATTATTTATGAGGTAACCTATTAAGTGTGACTCATTGCTAAATGCTGAGGCTACAACAGTGAACAAGATAGACTCAGACCTTTCCTTATGGAAACTTAGACTTTAGTGAGGCCGACAGACAGAAAACAAAGTTTCTGTTAGCACAAAACTGCATTTGTGATAAGTGTCATGCAGTCAACCCAGTAAGAGCTTTGCACGTTTTATTGCTTGCTCTCTCCTAGGCGTCATGCCAACCGCTTTACGTGTGGTTACGTGTTTTATATACACTGTCTCATTTAATCTTCACAAAGTCAGGTAGTTTGCCACTATCACCACAGTCACCCCTGCCATGTTACAGATGAAGAAATAAACCCAGAGAAGTTAAATAACCAAGCAAGGTGGCATAACTTGGGATCAAACTGGGACACGGCTGTATCTAGAGTCTATAACAGCCTTGCTGCTCAGATCAGCTCTATAGAATACATGACCCTTTTCTCTCTTCTCCCCTTGCTAGGTCTGATCGCCACTGTGGCTCAGAGACTCTAAGCTGTAGCCAGTATGATGGATGACAACACCGAATTAAGGACTGATGGAAACTCACTTTTAAAGGCCGTGTGGCTGGGGAGGCTCAGGCTGACCAGACTCCTCCTGGAAGGGGGTGCTTATATCAACGAAAGCAACGACAAAGGCGAAACGGCTCTCATGGTGGCATGTATCACCAAACATGTGGACCAGCAGAGCATCAGCAAGTCCAAGATGGTGAAGTATCTGCTGGACAACAGGGCAGACCCCAATATTCAGGATAAGTCTGGCAAGACCGCCCTCATCCATGCTTGCATCAGAAGAGCTGGGGGAGAAGTGGTCTCCTTGCTACTGGAGAATGGAGCAGACCCCAGCCTCGAGGATCGCACAGGGGCTTCAGCTCTGGTTTACGCAATAAATGCAGATGACCAGGATGCATTGAAACATCTCCTGGATGCCTGCAAAGCCAAAGGCAAGGAGGTGATTATTATAACAACGGATAAATCATCTTCAGGCACCAAAACCACCAAACAGTATCTTAATGTCCCTCCTTCACCCAAAGAGGAAGACAGACAGTCACCTCCACTGTGTGCATCTCCCTCGGGTATTGAACTGAAGGCTCCAGGCCTAGGCTCTCCACCCAGTGAGAAGGAAGATGACTTCTTTAGCCTCCAGTCAGGGCATCCAGGTGGTTCCAACACCTCCAAGGCTCCTAATGAACCTGGGTCACTCACTAGGAAGGTCGGGAACCTCAAAAGGGCCCGTTTGCCTCAACTGAAGAGGCTCCAATCTGAGCCCTGGGGCCTGACCGCACCCTCCGTGTTGGCCGCCTCTATGCGCCAGGATGAGAGCCATGGCACAAGTGCAGACAGCGAGGTCATCAAGAGCATCAGTGACATGTCCTTCCCCAAAAGGGGCCCCCTTTCCAGAACCAACAGTACTGATGGCAAAGACCCCAGCCTCTTCCTCACGGTCACGGAGCAGGTTCTGAAGATTCCAGCCTCTTCAGCACCAGCCTCGTGGAAGGCGGCCTACGAGAAAAGTCAGCCTCCCCGCTCACGTCTGGCCAGAAGAGGAACTCTCCCTATTGACCAAGAGAAGGGTGGTATTGGCCCATCAGGCCCCTCTGCTCTCAAAGATGCAGTGTCCCTCAAACGGCTGGAAGATGACCTCTATGATTTAGATTTACAGCCAGGGGCCGATCCGCCCAACTCCATTTCCCTTGAATCAGGCAAAGGACCCTTAGATTGGAAGAAGCTCAACAACTCCCACTTGTCTCTTTTCCAGGGTTCCAGGGAGGCCCTGGATGCTGTGCCCTGCACATCTCCCAGCTCAGTGCACCGCAGGCCACCCCATCTTCTAGAAAGACGGGGGTCCGGAACTCTGCTACTAGACCGAATTTCCCAGACCAGGCCTGGCTTCCTTCCGCCTTTAAATGTAAATCTGAACCCACCTATCCCGGATATTAGATCGAGCAGCAAACCTTCCTCTCCACTTGCTAGTGGTTTAAAATCCATGGTACCTGTTGCTCCAAGTTCACCAAAGAGAGTTGACTTGAGAAGTAAAAAGAAGCTCCTCAGAAGGCATTCTATGCAAGTTGAACAGATGAAGCAGCTGTCTGACTTTGAAGAAATCATGACCTAGAAGCTTTTTCAGTGAGGTTTTTTTTTTTTTTAAATCTATGTAGTTTATGAAAAGTACCATAATCTAGACCAACACGGTCATGCAGAGTCCCTGCGTCTTGATCACTCCTTACTGTTGGTGTGTGGCTGCTTCAGAAGAGATGGAAACGGTGCTGCTTCCCTTCTGAAAGAACATCTGGGTTTTGATAGGCCTACTTGAAAAGAGCCCAGTATAATTGGGTTTTGGAGATTAAAAAATCTCCAAAGGAAGAAAGCCTTTGGAGTTTGAAAGTCACACCACAGGTACAATGATCTAAGCGGCTGACACCCATTATTTTCTATCAGACAAACAATTTAAATCACAAGATGGTATCTGGAGGATGTCATGTGTAATAAATCTATAAAGTGCCTACAAAGAAAACGAGGCTTTTTCGAATGTGCAAAAGTTCAAAACCAATCTTTGGGCTGTTAAATATGGGTATCTGTGTTACATCTGGAGGAACAGAAGTAGAATTCTCCCATCAGAGAGGTTCTGGTATTCGGGTCCTGCCTCTTACCATGTCATGGGGCACTGGCTAGTGTAGCATAGTTGAGATCTTTCAGAACTCCGGTAACAGGCTTTATCCACGCACTAATTCGGGTGTGCTTTGAGTCCCCAAATATTAGATCTACATGTCCCCCAAATTCTGTTGTGTCACAGTAGCTGGTGCCTCAGAGACGAATCTTGCCCAGAAATGAAACTGGCCTTGGCCTCCTGCCCTGACACAGGTTCTGTGTTGAAATCTTGTGAAAAACAGTCAGGGGCTATTAGCTAATTTGGAGTTTTGTACATACAACTCATAGAATAGACCCATAAGAAGCGTTTCCTGATTATTCTTTAAAAAAAAAACAACTTGGTAAGATCTCCCCAAACTAGAATGATACATGGTGATGGGAGATGCTCATATTACAAGGTAGAGTAGATGGTTCTCAGGCCAGAGGCAGTGGGGACCACTTGTAGCCTGAAAATTTTAAGGGATGCAAACTCTCACTTCCCCTTCACTTTTCTGGGAAATTCAAGAACATCTGGTTTCTTTGCCTGAATTAACTATGTGATGGGAGATTTGTAGAAATAACCTGTACAACCTTTTCAAGCCACTTTGTATGAACCCAAGAATGGAAGCAGACATTTAGCACGTTTGGTGTAATGTAGCCACAATCTAGATGAAGATATTTCTGGTTATTTTCCCATTTATTGTTTTCTTTCATGCTGCTTAGATATGTTTGCTCTATGGTTAAAAAAATTCAGTAGTCCTTGGGGATAGCATCACATAGAGGAAAGAGGAGAGACTTTGAGATTTGGGTTTGTATCTCTATTTCATCATTTACCAGCTGCGTGACCTTGAGGAAGTGGCTTAACTTCTCCAAGCCTCCACTCCCTCATCTGTAAAATGGGGTTAGTAATGCTTCACCTTACAAGTTTGTGGTGAGAATTAAATGCGATAATGTATGAAAGTGCCTGTAACTGTACCTGGCACAGGTAGAAGTAATTGGAAAAGTAATACCTAATACCTTACACAAAGTGAAGCAAAGTCTAGCTGAAATATTCAAAGGGCCCCTTGAGATTCTCAGGGGTTCTGTCAATACTGAGCCTTAAACTCACTTGTAGAGTAAGGAAATTCTGCCACAGAAGCTCTGCAGATCAGACCATTTCTATAATGACATTTGCTAGAAATGTATCTGTATATCCCAGTCAAAAGTGCTAATGATGGTTATAAATACACCGAGTGTTTGTTCTTTAGTAATTCCTTTAGGGAAGGCACATGCTCAGCCTCGGCACTACGGGTCTTTTGGGCTGGATAATTCTTTCCTGTGGGAGACTGTCCTGTGCGTTGTAAGTTGTTTAGCAGCATTCCTGGTCTCTACCCATTAGATATCAGTAGCATATCCTCATCCTAAATTGTGACAACCAAAAACGCTTTCAGACGTGGCCAGACGTCTCCTGGAGGTGACATCACCTTAGCGGATCACCACTGCTCTAGGAGAACGATTGTGTACATGGTAGAAATATGCCAAGAGCAACCAAACTGCATGAAGGTGTAGGTCTGGCTGGCTGGCTAGGCTGTCCCACTAACTTAAGGGCAATTCAAACTGTAACTTAGTAAGATGACTCATATACAATGTGGGCCTTCAGGATTCTTGACCTCAGTGCTAATGGCCTCTTGTACTTGGCAGGAAGGGAAGAAAATGAGAAGAATGGCACATAAGCTAGTGAAAATCTAGGGCTCATGACCTGGGTTGGGTGTCCCAACCCACACGCTTTTCAGGACCATTTAGATGGTAATAGTTCTCACCAACTGGACATGTTTACAGGCAAAGCAACAATTCTGATGTATTAAAGAGAGAACCAGACAGACAACCATTGCTCTCAGCAGCTCATCAAAGGAACACACACACGCTACACATTTTAAGTACTTTTCCAATGGTCGTCAGTGTCAGTTAAAACCAACGTCTGCCAGTACTGATAGTATCTAACTGGGGCGATAGCAAGACACTGCATAAGAGAATTTTTCTAAACCTTTAGCTAAGATTTGAAAGCCTAATTTATCCTAAGTAGTGAATGTGGTACATTCATAGCAATTAGCTTAGGTGAAACACTAAACATGATGAGTTGCCCGTTTGGAGTAGCCTGTCCATCCATCACACAGATGCGTCACAGCAGGTACGCTCATGCCACTTACTGCCTGCATCCATCAGTTGTGACCTTTCCATTGGCCCTTCTGTAGACGGTCATCAGGATAGTACCTTGTTTCATACTATCTGACAATGCATTAGTTGAATTAGACTGTTCCAAACTAGGACAACCACTGCAATACTTAATTACGGTTAATGCATACGTGGGCAATTTTCTTCGTGTTAACAAACCTCAGAGAGATGCTTTTCAAAAGCATATTTAGATTGAATCACACTTCCTAGATCAGAGATTTGGGGGAGCCTAGGGTCACTACAGAAGTTAGCCACAAACTAGTTTCAATAACTCATCTACTTAAGACTCTCTGCAACGTTTATCAAAATATATTATAGAATGTGAGTCTAAAGTTTCAAATCTGGAATTTGGGTTCAATTTCTAGACATTCTAAAGCCTTTGTTTGTTTGCTTAAGTCCATCGTCGAGCCTCTTAGAATTTCATCAAGTAAATGCAGGTTTTGTCTGAACTTCCTCCTTTGTGTGTGTTGGTACTTCAGATGTATCGTGTGTTGCTTGAACTGGTTCTCTACAGTGTTCTATCCTAGTCTCGAGCTGACGATGTGCTCAAGGATGTATCAAAATCCATGTAATGGAACTATTTAGATATTTCTAATATGTCAATAAAAGATATATTACAATCCTTCAATAGTAAGTATTTCCCATTTTTCTTAGTGAAATCTCAATTATAAATATTACCTTTTCCTTAAGATGGGTTTGGCATGACTGCCTGGTAACATCGACCTGAGCAAACACCTACTATTTTATGTACACGTGATTTAGAAAATGAATTTTTAACTACACAGGTATTATAGTTTCTTTTTTGGTTAAAAAAAAAAAGCTAAGAATGAGAAGGTGCATTGCCGCAATGGGGGTGAATTCTTTTCCTCTGGCCCTTCTGCTCAGTTCCCCCCAGGGTTGTACCTGCCATCTGCTACTGGTAAGGTCCCTGGATATCCCTCCTTGGGCCCTATTTCTAATGTCGATGAATGTTAACATAAGCTGATTTCTCTTAGCTCTTACTCCAGGGCAGGCTGGTAAGTATCAAATAAACCAGGTGGATGGTCTCTCTTCTCTCTTAAACTCTAGAATTCTGTGATTCAGACTTCATCCAGACTTCCTCCCTGGAAAGTTCCAAACCTTACCCCTAGGTTCCTTCCTAGGCGGTTGAAATAAATTATATTGTTTTGTGCCCGTCTCAGCCTGTTGATAACCAATGTTATGGCTGGACCAGCCCTTGTGGTTCTTATTGTGGTTGCAAGAAGCCCTCAGCAATAATCATCAGGAAACTTTGAAAAAAAAAAGGTTTGTTGCTTACAGGTCCTGAAAATTACGTGGCACACCTGGGGTCACACAGTGAGGCTGTGGGTAGACAGAGGGCCCAGGCCTGGGGTTCTGCTTTTATTGGGGTCCAAGCTGAGGACCTAGGGTTTCATGGGCTCACTCTTTATGAGTGAACTTAAAACATAAGAGAAGGAATTTAAAGTGTGAGAAGAGAAAAAACAAGGGGCCCAAATGGTCAGTCACTGAAATCAACCAAGATCTCTAAAACAAAGCTGGGGAGTGGGTGGGGGCATGACCTGGCTCTTTATTTAGTCCTTTGTGGCTGGCAATGTGTATTTATCGAGATAGCCATCTCTGAGGTGGAGGCCACCTTTGAAGTGGATGCCTCAGCCATCAAAATTAAGTCAGGCACTTGCATGGCAAAAAGAAAAGCCAGCTGTCGGGCTTACGCTACAGTTAACGAGGGGGAGAAAAGGGAAGCATCCTAAGTGTCCATCAACAGACAAATGGATAAAGAAGATGTGGTATTTACATATATACAATGGAATATCACTCAGCCATAAAAAGAAACGAAATAGTGCCATTTGCAGAGACCTGGATGGACCTAGAGACTGTCATACAGAGTGAAGTAAGTCAGAAAGAGAAAAACAAATATCGTATAATATCGCTTATATTTGGAATCTAGAAAAATGGTACAGATGAACTTATTTGCAAAAGTGAAACAGAGACACAGATGTAGAGAACAAACTTATGCATACCGAGGGGGGAAGCGGGGGTGGGATGAACTGGGAGATTGGGATCGACATATATACACTACTCTGTATAAAATAGATAACTAATGAGAACCTACTGTATAGCACAGGGAACTCTACTCAGTGCTCTGTGGTGACCTAAATGGGAAGGAAATCCAAAAAACAGGGGATATATATGTATACATAGAGCTGAGTCACTTTGCTGTACAGCAGAAACTAACACAACATTGTAAACAACTATACTCCATTAAAAATTTTTTAA